GGAGGGCGGCGCAGCCGGCGCTGCACCCCCTCGCTCGCAACTGCACCGGGGAGGAGGAAACCACATGAAGGGGCGGCAGCTGGGGCGGGCGCCGAGCTGGAGGCATCGCACAAGCCGCCCTGGCACCAGGGGGGCCCCATCCTGCCCCTCAGCACCACCTCCGACAGCGCAACGGGCGGAAGCAGAGCACAGGGTTGCTGGAGCGGCCCCCCACGCCCCCAGCAATGCACAGCTTGCTGCTTTTGTGCTGGCAGCGTCCAGCCCCCCCGGCAAAGGGGGCAGCCCAGGGGCCAGCCCTCTCCCCCACGGTGGGCTCCCCCAACCCACCACCCATGCTGCCCAGCACCCCCCGGAGCTGGGGGCCGTGGGTGCAGTGGCCCCCTCGGGAGCCGTGGGGCTGCGGTGGGTACCGGCTCCGGCCCCCTTCCTCTCCTCTCCCATCACGCTGAGCATCGCGGATGAGCAGGGTGCCCCCGTGGCAGAGGAACCCCAAACCGCGGCCAGACACCAAGGAGGACGCAGGGGAGACCCCAGCATCTCCATCCCGTGCAGGGCAGCCAACACACGGAGCTCTGGGGCGGGGGGGCTGGAAACGAGGGGGCCGGCCCCAGGCGAGGGGGCCGGGGATGCCACGGACGGACGGCCCAGACACGGGCTGTTATTCCTGTTACTGGGTGGGAGGGGAATTTCCCCCTCTTCTGACGCTTCATGTGAGACAAAAAATCCATTTTCAGGGACTGCTGAGAATAAGGAAAATTTAAATTGCCCCATCACACTTTCCATTACCCCCCGGAAGGCGCACCGGCAGGCTCAGCCAGCCGCCCTGCGAGCACAAACAGGTCACGGCAGGGAGGAAAACCCAGAGAGGAAGGACGGCCTCGCGGTCGCCTTCGCCATCTGGGGACGTGGGGCCGATGCCGCCTCTGCCCCACGGGGCCCGGGCAGGTCCTTTCCCACTCGGGCTGATGAGGGTCCCCCTCCCCAGCAGCTCCCGGGACCCTCTGGAGCAGGGCTTCCCGCAGGCAGGAGCAGGCAGCCCTGCCCGCAGCCCCTGCCCACCAGGAAGCAGGAGGTGGCTGGTGCTGAGCCGTGAGGGTGCAGGGCCAGCGGCGCGGGGTGGGGCGAGCAGCGGTGCCAACCCTGGAGTTAAATAACAATGAGCGGCTGGGGCCGAGGAGTTATGTAAAGTTTCACATCGGAAAAGCGGGTCACAAAACAGCCTTGTTTTCATCCAGGTCCCACGGCAGCGGAAACGGTTGCGCTACGAAGTGGCAGCAGAGCCCTGCTCGTCTCAGCAAGGTGAGCGGCAGCTCCCCGCTGCGCTCCCCTGCGCCGCATTGCGCCGCGCTGCACTGCGCAGCACTGCACCGTGCCATACGGCACCACGCTGCGCTGCCTGGCACTGCCTGGCGTCATGCTGCACCACGCTGCATCCCGGGATGCTGCGCTGCATCATATGGCACCGCAGTGTGCTGCACGGCACGGTACAGCTCCGAACCGCACCATGCTGCACCACGCCGCTGTACTGTATCGCGCAACACCTCGCTGCGCGGCACAGCGCTGCATCACGCTGCACGGCCCTCGAATCCATGCCTTGCAGGAGGATTGAAGGCACCCCCAGACTCCTCACAAGGGGCTCCCAGTGACCTGGCGGCCAAAGGCTGGGGGGTGCCAGGCAGCCAAACCTCCCGGGACGTCCCCAGGGAGTGCTGCGAGGGGCCACGGGTGGGGGACCCAGCAAAGCCAGGGCTGTGGGAAGCACCCACTGGCACTGGTGGGTACAGTCCACGCTGGCGAGCAGGCAGCTCACCTCCATCGGGCACCAGCAGCTACCGGAGCTCCTGCCACACTGCCTGAAGTGCAGGCGGGCCGGTTCCTGCCTCCTCCTCCTCCTCCGACACCAGGGCAGGGGGTAACGCTCCAGCTCCCACATCTCCCCCGCAGTCCCCGTACCCCTCCCCGCTGCGGCTGGGCATTCCGCCCGCGCTGCTGCAGGGGCCTTCCCCGAGGAGCAGCAAACGGTGCCAGATTTCAAGCCGGTGGCTGCTGAGAAACCTCTGGTCAGCAACGTGGGCATCTGTCGCGACATGTGCTGCCTCCCGGCCCCCTGTGCACCCGTGGGGACCCACAGCTGGCAGGAACCACCCTGCAGGTGTAATCCCCCGGGGCACTGGATGTGCCCTGGCATTAGGGATTAGCACCTAATTATCCACTATAATCTTTGGTCAGGCTGGGCCCAGCCCAGGCGCTCGCCCTCCAGGGAGCGGCAGAAGGCCAGCACAGAGGGCACCTCTCCACCTGCGAGGCCTCGGAGGCACAGGGTCGGGGTGCCGCGGCGCAAGCCTGGGACGGCCGCTCCTACAGGGACCCCCTCAGGGGTCCTGCAGCAGGACCAGGGGCAGCGCAGGGGCAGCAGACCCCCAGGTTAGTGCCCTGGAGGGGAGCTGGCAGCTCTAAGCAGCCTGGCAGGAGGCTGAAGCCTCCACGCTCCGGCTCCCTGCAAGGAAAGAGAGTGATAAGAAAATCCCGAGGACGTGGGACGAGTGACTGTGAAATGCTCAGGACACACACCGAGGCAGGGGGGATGGTTTTACAGCCTGGCAAACCCAGAGGGAGAGCGGTGCCCCCCTCCTTCCCCAGCAAGGAAGAACCCTGACCCTAAGCCTGACCCTAAGCCTGACCCAGCGCGGTGCAGTACAGAACCGGCTCCCCTGGAGGGCTGAGGCAGAGGGATGCCGGGGCGGAGGGATGCTGCCAGGGCATCGGCCGCCCGGGGACAGGGTGCTCCAAGCTCAGCCGGCTCCAGGCTCCCCCCGAGCCCCTGCTGGGGCTGGCGCAGCTGCAGCTGGCAACGCTCAGCTGCCAACCCCGGCTTCGCAATTTCCTCCTGGCAAGACAGACCAGGGCACCCAGTGTCCCTGCAAGCCACTCCAGTTTCACACAACCCCCCCACCCTGAGCCAGCCCTCCAGAGCTGGACGCGTGTCTGGCCCAGAAAACCACAGGCAAATTATATTTAGTCCAGCAGCTTGCAGACTTTGAGCTGAGGCACATTCCCCGTGCACACGAAGGTGAGTCAGGAGCCGGCCAGACGATGGGGGAGAGGAGAAGAGACACCAACCCAGCCCAGCAGGGACAGCCCTGCAGCCCCAGCCCGGGACGCTGCCCCGTGCAGCTCCCAGCCCACGGAAGGCGCCCGGTGTCTCCTTCCCCCATCCTGGGGGAGCCCCCAGCCCTGCAAACCCAGCTCCAAGGGCTGGAGGATGGCTGCTGTGAGCGGGCAGGTAGGGAGGAAACACCAGCAAGGAGGCACAGAAGCCTCCTGCTTCTTCCATTGCCTCTGGAGAGGAAGAAGAGGGACCCTGCAGAGTTCACACCCCAGCTCCTGATGGGACAGGGAATGGAATGGCCAAGGGATGTTAATTCAAAATGCAACAGCTACGCTCTCCTGGGACCTCCCAAGCCCTGGCTCTGCTCCTGGAGCCATGCCTTCCTGGGGGACACGCAACACGCTCGAGGCTATGTGCTGCACACCGGTCCCAGCTCCTCCTCGAGTGTTTCTGGCTCCCCTGCGGTGAACCTAAAGACAAACTGCCCCAGCACCGAGAGCTTAGCGCTGGGATATTTATAGAGGGCTTGTGTGAGCTGTCGCCACCACTCCCATGGGCTGCTGTCACTAGACTGCCGGCTAGGTGACGATGCTACCGGGGAGCGGGGCTGAAACCACACGTGTTCACCGACCGCGTTTGTGGTACCCTCCCCACCGCTCCAGCAGCAGCTGGAAACCCAGCTCAGCCGTCCCGCTCCGGCAGCGCGAGCAGAAATGGCTTAACCAGCGCTGAGGGGGACAGGAGCGGCAGCGGGGCGAGCAGGGCCCCTGCCTGCCAGCCGGGCGCCAGTCGGCCCCCCCGCGCTCACACCGCCGGGGTTTGCACCCGCGCAACGCCTCCGCCTTCGCACTTGCTGCATGAGACGCTTTCCAGAAGCGGCCAGCCTGGGGCCGGGCTCAGCCTGCACGCCCTGCGGCGCCGGTGGCACAGCAGGACTGGGCTCTGCTGACGGGCCTGAAGCAGCCAGCCCCGTGGCCGCCGTGCACGTGCATGCGTGTCTCTCGGCCGAAACGCAGCCGCTAGTGACGCCAGCCGCTGGGGCAGGGGGGGAAATATGTTTGCAAACAAGAAGTGAAACTGCTCTGCTCTGCTGCACCGCTCATCATCTTCGCTGTGGCAGAGCCAGCTGTGGAAGGAGGGTTTTAAAGGGCGTGCAGCCGGCCAGGAGCAGAGAGTGACTGCAGAGGTGCCAGCCAGGGAGGGCAATGCCACGCCAGCTGTGGCCAAGCACCACAGACTGGGTGCACTGCCTCTACTCCGCTGTGGTCAGCCCATAGCTGGAGGCTCTCTGGCTCCATTTCCCTTTTTCCCCGAGCTCCCTTCTTGCTTTGCCCCTTCCCCTCCTCCTCTCAGCCCGCTTTCTCTTTTCTTCCCTCCTGCAGAGCTTTATTTTTCCTTTCTCTCACTATTTGCCACCTTGCAACTGGAAACCGTCTGTACTTCCCCATTACGAACAAGTTCCTCAGCACCTTCCTGCCCTTGCAGAAAGGCAGTTGCAACACCAGCCCCGACAAACGTGAGGCTTTTGCAAGACCAATTCCTGTCACTCACGCGCTGAAACTCCGGCAAACCTGGGGAGCTTCGCCCCCTCCCGCAGTGCTAAGCGGCAGTGCCAGACCCAGAGCCTGAGAAGGGCTTTGCTGGCCCTGTCCCCCCCTCCCCTGCCCCAGCTCGGCTCCCCGAGGGGGCTGCGCACAGATCCCCTGCTCCCTCCTCCGGACCAAGCCAGAGAAAGGCTGGGTCCAGCCTTCCAGCTCCTCGCATGCAGTTTGTCCTGGAGACGGTCCCAGCTTTGGCCCCGGAGAACCCGAATCCCCCTGGGGACCCATGGGGGCTTCCTCTGCTCCAGTACCCTCTGCTGAAGAGCAGGGAAGGATGGGACACTGTGGGACCAGAGTTGTCCCCCTTGCCCGTCCCCTCCTTGCCACTGCTGGCTCCAGGGCTGGGGGTAGCAAAGGTGAACAAAAAGCCCCCACAACCGACACGAATGGAGCCAGAATCTGGCCCCGAGATGCCGTGACCCACAAGAAGAGATCACTTGCGCCCTGCCCTAGAACAGCCCCGCGAGCCTTCGGCCTGGCCAGCTCAGCAGGCACTGCCCAACTTCTCCCTGCTCCTGCTGAGGCTGGCAGTTCCCACCGGCCGCTCGGCTCGGGGCGAGGAGGATGTGGCGGTGGTACCACGCTCGCCACGGCCTCGTGCAACCCCGCCGCCCCTCCCTTGCCGAGCCGAGCCAGCCCCAGGGGTTGCAGGAGCCGGGCCAAGCCCGCCGGTGGCCCCGCAGAGCCCTGCTGCCGCTGGCCTTGGGAAGTGCAGCCCGAGGAACCAAAACAGCGGGATAAGCCCCAGGAGACCCTGCCCGGCCCAGAGGAGCCCTGGCCCTGTGGGAATGATTCACAGCAGGAGCCCAACTTGCACATCACGGGACACGGATGGAGCAACAAGGCAGATCTGCAGAGCGATGATAAGGGCGAGAGCCCATGTAGCAAAGGATGCCGCCCACAGCGGGGCGTCGAGCCCTGGGCCCGCTTCGTCCAGACGCATCCAATCTGACAGCCGTGCCGCCACCGCGCAGCGCTTTCCTTTTCGCAGGAGCTCACCCGTCACCCTCGCTCCCCGGGCGACAGCTCCATCTGCCGACACGCAGCCCCGCGGGGAGCTGGTGCAGGGGACGCCGCGCCCCCAGGAAGGAGATGAGCCCTGGCTCCAGGCCAGGGCTGGCCCCAACAGGGTCCTCTCTCCGTGGGGAGACACCCAGCTTTGGGGGGGACCGTGCACCCCTGCAGGCAGCTCCCCTCCATCAGCAGGGCCCTTCCAAGATGGGAGGAGGCAGCCATGCTGGGTGGTGGCACCACGCCGGCTGGTGGCACGTTCAGCCAGGGCATCACCGCGCTCCCCTGCACTTCCACGACCAGGGATGCGCCGTGGTCGACGCATCCTCAGAGGGGGCAAACGCTCCTTTGCTGGGCTTGGGCACAAGCACCAGGGCACAGGAGCACCCCAGCACAGCTTGAGCCCTGCAGCATCAGGGAGAGGGGAACGAGGACAAGCTGCCCCCTTGCCCACTGTGGCACACGGCCGGAGACACTGTGGCTTGGCAGCAGCCCCCAGCCCAAGTGAGCGCTGCAGGACGGGGGGGCAGGTTTGCTGGGCCCCGCTGCCCATGCCCAAAACAAACCACCCGGCAGCACCGGAGCAGGAGTTGCACAGGCTGCTCCAGCACCAGTGGGTGCACGAGAGCCCAGCGGACAGCACCCAGTGACACCGAGCCCGTGGGCTTTGTGGGCGCAGGCTGCTCCCCCAGCAGAGCCCCAGCAAGGCCACCATCCCACAGCCGCCTCATGGACCGGTCATGGACGTCCAGAGCCCATCCCGTGTGTCTGCACAGCCATGCCAGCACCTCCCGCCTGCCTTCCTCAGCTCCTCGGGAGCGGGTAAGGAACCAGCCCCGGCGGGTGATGTGGCAGAGGAGGGCAACCTGCAGGCAGAAGTGCTGCCAGATGGCAGCAGGGCACACCGGGTCAAAACACCGCTGGCGGGACTTTGCTCATGGTGTTCCCTAACATGAACTTGGGAGAAACCCACCCAAATTACCAGCAGAGAAAAGCCAGACATTTAGAGGCAGGCTGCTCACCTCCCTGACCCAGTCCTCCAGATCTGATGCTGTGCTGGGTCAGGGATGCGTTACACCGCAGCTCTCTGCCTGCAGTCCCTGCTAGACACAGCGACGTGTACCCATCGCCATCGGGGCGCGCGGGCTCAGCGCTCAGCCCAGGGAACAGCCCCCGTGCCCAGGTCACAGCCAGCAGCTGTTTTTTTGCTCCCGTGAGCTGACAGCAGGGCTAGCGCTGCTGCTAACACACTGCAACCAAAAGTCAGAGGCTTGCTGCAACGTTACGGTCTGCAAAGGTGCAAAGCCTGCAAAGGTGCAAAGCCTGCAGACAGGCGCTCCCCGGGGGTGACTGCTGCTCAGGGAGCTGTCGTCTGAGGCGCAGTGCTGGGGGGAAGAGATGCAGGGGTCTGGAGTTCTTGCAAAAACACAAGCCAAGCCAAAAAAGATGAAACAAAGGAAGCCGTGGGAGAGCCGCTGAGGAGACTGCTGAGCTCCCAGTACCCCCGTATCACCAGAGATAACAGATCACTTCCCAGAGAGAGAGGGGAACCCCGGGATCTCCAAAAGCCCCTTTCACAGGGCATCTTGCAGCCAAACAACTGCTGGAAGCTTCTTTTCCGGGCCTCTGAAACAAGCCAGCAAGGGGACGGGCTCAGTGAATTGCCGGAAGGGGACAATAAACAGACGTGATGGAGCAGGAGCCTCAGCAAGGCGCTCTCTGTGACTGCCCGAGCAGACCCCAGGCACAGCGCTCATCCTGCTCGTACGCGGGCAGCTCATCTGAGCAGGCCCCGAGCACAGCACCCACCCTGCCCTCTATCCCTCCATGCGGTCCCTTCAGGGAGACTTGCTCCCAGCCCTCGCCAGCTTCCCAGCCCCGGGATAAGGGCGCACACCTCCGACAGTTTCCCCTGAAGGTCCCTGCTTTGCAAAGCGATCACCTTCCTGGGGCAACACAGTCCAGGGAGCCCTGGGGACCCTTCCCCATTTAGTACTGGGGACTGTGAGGGTTGGACTGGGAATCAGCTGGGCAAGACGCATCCCTGAGGAGAAAAGGACAGATAGGTCCAGGGAGCCAGAGACCCAGGCAAAGCCGAGCGTACGAGAGGCACACACGTGCAGAGGCAGCTTTCACATATGGAGTTTCAAAGCTGAACGTCCTGCCCGCCCGCGGCTGCGCCGGTGCCCAGGGTCCAGCACTCATGCCGCAAACCAGCATGGCACCAAAGCTGCATCCAGGCGATGGAGGCAGAAGCTCCCGGGCTGGATCCTCTGCCTGACCCACTGCACGACCGGCGAGCCCCAGAGCCCACCGGCCCCCTCGCAGAGAGCAGGGCCCACAGCCAGCCTGCTCAGCGCAGCCATTCCTGGGGGAAGGGGGTAACACAGCACCTGCTGCCCACTGCTGGCAGATCTTCCCAGTTTGCAGGGCCAGCAGGTTCCCGGTTCCCCGGCACAGAGAAACCGGTTTCAGCTCAGAAACAGGCATCCTTAGGCAAGGAGAAGGGGTCAGCGAACCCGACCCATGGGGACACGAATGGGGTGGTTTTCAAATGTCAGCTCCAAGTGAAAACCAGAAAATAGGAAATTAAAAGATTCCTCCCCACTTTGCTTTGGTAAACCATGAATTTTGGTGACCATGTTTCCCAGTTTCACCTGGTGGTAACTCCTTCAGCACCCAGCTACGGTTATTTCACAAGCGAGCGGCAGCCAAAGCCCTCCGCTGCCAGCCGAGAGCCCCCTCCCCAGCACCCAGCGCTGCACAGAGAGAAGAAAGGAAAGTTTCTGTACCTCGGGACTTACTGTGTGTTTCTTAGTCATTCTCCAGAGGATGCACGTCAGGAACATGTGGCCCAGAGCCGACGTGATAAAGACGATGAAGGCATTTTCATGGATTGCTGAATGAACAAGACAACAGGTTTCCTGTTAAATCTGAGCCAAGAGCAGGAGGGGAATGTGGGGCAGGCTTCGGGAGGGTGAAGGCCCGCTTTCTGCAGGATGCGGTCCTGCTGGGAGTCCCAGCGCCTGGGAGATGCTGTGCCCCCAGCACGAGCAGCGGCCCAGGGCCTTCACAGGGCGGGCACAGCACGGCTCCGCACCCCAGGTGCCCGTGCAGAGAAGGGGCAGGGGGATTCAATGACAAAGCCGCTCGTGCGTGCCCCTGTAAGCCTGGGGCTGGAGGGGATGTGAGCTGCTGGAAGACTCATTCCAAAGGTGCCAGGAGGGCATTTATGTGCTCTGGCACCCGGTCTGCAAGCCTCCATTGCTTCACATGACTGTAAACCTTGGGCACCCTTGAGAGCAGCTCAGCATCACCACTACTGTTCTAGGGATGGGGAAACTGAGGCACGGAGGGGGCGTTTGCAGAGTGAGCCAGTCCAAGATCCAGAAAGGGACACCTTCTGGCCTCCTGCATTATCTACCTGCCAATTAACAGTTGTCATCAGCCTCATCACCAGCACCGAGGCCATCTCCCGTGTCACTGAACTAGCACGGATTTAGGGTCAGGCTGGAAATGCAGCTGGAACAACACTAAGCCAGAGCCGCTCACGAAACCCCAAGGCCGCACACAAAGCCCATGCAACTTCAGGTGAGTTATTTTCAGAGGAGTGCTTCTATTTAAAAGAGTTTCCCAGCCTCTTCTCCAGGAACTGAACCACAGGCTGAGTTCCCAAACCACCTGAACGTAAGAAATGATCTTCCCTGCTTCCCCGTTCGATTCCAGGGGAAGGGAAACCACGCGAGGAGCGACGGTAAAGGCAGCTGTTAGAGGTGAAGACATGAGCAGTGCCCTGCAGAGATGATTAACCTGAGCCTGTTCTCATCTCAGCACGGCAGCTAAGGCCTGAAACTCTCCCCACAAACCTGAGATTAGTCTGTAATAAGGATCTGAGAAAACTGGGTTAGCCTCAGCTCAGTGTGGCTTTTGCCCAACCACTCTTCTGCGCCTCTGTCCCCTCCTCGCAAAGCTCTGCACAAGCCAGGCAGAGCCACCGGCTGCGAAACGAGGCACAGGCAGAGCCACTCCAGTGACAACGTGCTTTGAGGTATCCAAACCCCAAAAGAGCATCTGAATTTCTAAGGGCGTGCTCCCGGTCCTGATGGGTTGGGGAAGCCCTGCTGGCAGGCGGTCTGCAGTCCGCTGCCACGGGGGGGGCAGCTGGGGACAGCAGCAGAGGCGGGCGGGATGGCGACAGGATGCCTCGCCGTGGGGGACAGGGAGGGCTGGCAGGAGATGAGGAGGCGAGCTGGACAGGAACATCCCCTAGACCACAGATCTCCATCAGCTGGAGGTTTGTGCCTGACCATCCCAGCTCACTGAACTCCGCAGCACACGGAGCTGTGGTTTCCGAACCTGCTCCAGCCCTGCAGCTCGGGGATACCACACGCTGTGCTTCCCCCTGAAGAGCAAATGGTTCCATGACACTCACAAAGCAGGACTTGGGGAAGGGTCCGTTTAAACCCTGCTGTGGTCTGGGGGTTCAGACGAGACAGCACGTTCTGGAGGATCTACATCCTCACCCTAAAGGCTGGGGAGGTCCTTGGACTCTGTTCAAGACACCGCAGCCCTGAAGCCACCAGGCTCGCTGGTGAAGACCCAGTGGAAGCTGGCGAGCACCCAAACGGTGGGAAGCTTCACCGGACCGACAGCGACAGGCCCCAGCACAGTCTGCTCTGGGCACGGCTCCTGAGCGATGAGCAAGTGAGCAGAAAGGCAATAACCACCGCGCTGCGAAAGACAGAAGCATCTGTGAGTGGGAAAATAAGCAGCGTGCGCAGAGAGCTGTCAGCTGTCGGGGCTCACGCACTCGCTAGCTGTTTTTCCCTGACAGCCTGCCGTTTTGGCATCTTTCTGCAAGATGCAACGCCTCCAAATACCCACTTTGACAGGGAATCGGGACAGCGCCTGCAGTGCTCCGCGCTGCCAGTGTGACGCCCTGCTCCGATGGCAGCAGCGGGCTGGAGGGAGCCTCAGAAATCACCCACCTGGTCCTCCGCACTGGGGCTGGACCCCTCAGCCCCGCAGGCACATTCCCAGCCTTCCTGGAGGGCTCTGGTGGCCACAGCCCATTTCCAGTTTGGTGCTCTAAGCAGTCGCAAGGCTTCCTGACGCCCACTCCGTCTGCCTCTCGAGCACTTGTTTTCCTCACCCGTTGTGAGTAGGAAGATACGCTCAGCGCAAAGTCAGCTGCATCCTTGCACCTGATCTCATCTCCCTTGCTGCGAGGAGACAAACCCTCTTCTGTCAGCCTCCCCTCACCAGCACTGCTCCAAACCCTCTCCTCCTGCAGCTCTGGCCTGGCCTCTCTTTGGGAGACTTTGTGCCTACATCCTCCAGCGCAGTCCTACAGCCGGACACAGGACCCATCCATCATCACCACCCTCAAACTGTGTGCGGGGAGAGCCGACACACCGCTCTCCTGACGAGAAGTCCCAGAACTGGGTTTGTTTCCTCTGCAACAGCACCACCTTGCTGGCTCGTGGATTCGAGTCCTCTCAAGTCAACCCGCGTGCCTCCTCCAGATCTCGGGATTAAACAGCGACTGGATATCATCACTGGCACTTAAATTCATTTCAGACAAGACCATGGGGGAGAAGAGCATTTCCCAGCCTATCGTGACCATATTTTGCACATACTGATTTAACCTGAAAAATTCCGATTTTGTTTTCAGGTCAACACAGGAAATTTTACCCAGAAAATTTTGTAGGAGGGTATTTAAAACACAGCTGGAACAGGGCGCGGGCTGGAAGCCAGCTGAGAGCCAAAGCCAGAGCTCAGCAGTGGAGACAGAGCGGATAGCAGGGACAAGCACTCACCTGCCTTTGCTCAGCTGCGGTGAGATGTGTTAAGCACGGCCTTGCACACAAGTGGGAACCAAGCCCTAAAGTCTGATCCTAGGCTTGATACAAAAATTCAGCCTATGGTTTCGGCCAATTATCGGCAACCAAGAATTTTGGTAAGAACACAGCTAATTGCACATTATGGACACAACTTAGAATCACAGAATCGTTAAGGTTGGAAAAGACCCTTAAGATCATCGAGTCCAACCGTTAACCCAG